AATGTTAGTGATAGCTTTTTGTTTGTACTTGAGATATTTCTTGAAGTCTTCACGAGGAAGGTAACTTCTCGACATTGTTGCTACATTAAAGGTATCAGAGAAAATATCACCTCGACTTGCATATTGTGCACCAAGAATTAAAACTTATACACTTGTTCCTCAAATGACCATCTGTCGACCATTTGGTACGGATATTGGCCATTACTAGTTTATTTGAGGATTTCCTCTTTTTGCATAATAAAGTACATATGATAGTGTTCCAATTTATTCGTATCATCCTAAAAGATAAAATGACAATAATCTCTCAAAGCTATCAGAAGATGGTGATGAACTAAATAATCGTAGAATGACTGATAGTCGATGGAGAATAGAGAAAATGAGAATTTCGTTGTAAGATGTCCACTTTGAAGCTTTACTCATAAATGTACACTAAAACGATCTATTTATAAGTATTTTCACTTATTGAGAAAAATATATATATATATTCATAATTATTGTCCTGAGGCGAACCATGTGTGGCAGGTGACATGAGGTGTTGGGGGTTTTAACCCATGATTTTATGGTCACAAGTCCAACCCCTACACCACCAGGTCATCCCTTACGGACTCATTAGTGTTTCTTAATACAAAATAAAATTCATAGAAAAACCATGGAATTAAAATTAAGCCATTAATGGTGTGTTTGGTTTGTATTTTGCATTTAAATAATAATTGCGTATGATATTTTATGAGAAAAAAATAATACTCTCTTTGTTCCAATTCAAAGTATAATCTTTATTATCTTTGTCTTTCTCAGTCTAAAGTATTTCTTTCTGATTTTAGTAAAATAATCATACCTTAATACTAAGATACTTTTAATTTTTACCTAAATTACAAATATATCATTACATATAAAATTAATTTATTATACATAGAGTCAAATGATAAAAATATAGTTTCTTACATACTTTTACTAACTAATAAAATATATATATATATTTTATAATCTACTCTTAAAATCTCTAAAATCTCATAAGACCCTTTGGATCGAGACAAAATAAGTATATATTATTGTAGAAAATTATGAAAATTGTATATTGAAAAATTGAAAATAAAAATAATAGAAACTTATATTTTTTTCGAAAAATATAAAATTCAAATAGCAGAAACTTAAAGTTTGAAGACGGAAAAAAAAAAAAAAAAAAAAAACTTATGACAACCTCGGAAACCTTAACTATTAAGTACTTATTATAAATCAACCGGTAGGATATTTCCGCTTAAGGGCTATGCCCAAGTTTGATCCTGACGTGTGTCTAAAAAAACCCTTAGCCCTTAGCATTATGATGATGAAGTTCAACACACACATATATACATATATATATATATATTCCAAGAAATTACATGTAAGATCTCCTCAACAAACTATTATTATTATTATTATTATTATTATTATTATTATTATATGTTGAAGTGAGTGGAAATTTCCTTGTAATATTCATTCTATCACCAATTTCTTTACAAACAATGTTTACATTGTGTTTGTGTGTGTATTATTACAACCCTTCTCTTACAGCTCGACCTAGTAAGTTTCTCACTCTCTCTCTCTCTCTCTCTATATATATATATATATATATATAAACATGGAAATTCGAGGTCATATATAAAATAATAATAAATAATTATATAAGTAATTTTCCTTGTAATTGGGTATGGTCCCCTTTGTCGACAAAGCTCCATCAAAACCACAATAACCTAACTGGAAATTTCTATGGCAACTTTTTGTAAACAACTAAGACCCTCTCTCTCTCTCTCTCTCTCTCTCTCTATATATATATATATATATGTATATATGTATGTATATATATTGCATGCAGATTTGCAATGCACATATCTTACTTCATCTCTCTCTCTCTCTAGAATTAGAAGAGGAAAGTTGGCTTTCTCTGAACTCTCTCCCTCAATGGCTGCTCTACTTCTACTTCATTAAGGTCTATTTACTTTGTCTTTTTTTTTTTTTTTCTTTTTCTTTTTTTTTTTGTATTTTGTATGCTTATTTACATAAAAATTTGAATATTATAAATATTTACTAATATTTTTATAAAAAAGTATCATAATTATATAATAATAATAATTTAAAGCTAAACTCCAAATAATGTGTATATATATATATATAGTATTTATTAGTGGGGAAGCCATTGAGGTGAGGAGCTCAGAAAACGCCTACACCTAGTTGTGTTTTTTTGCAATTTGAAATTTAAATTTGAAATAAAATATTGATTTAAATTTTTATTTAAATATTATTTATGTGTAATATTATGTGAAAAAAATAATAATTTATTTTTATTGAAAGTTATATTTTAAGTGAACAGCGTTGATTTTTGTTTGAAATAGTTAATAGAAAAAAAAAAAAAAAAAAGTGCTACTAATTCTTCTATTCTTTTAGCCGTGTTTATAGAAAATATATTCTTAAATTTTTGTTGGTTTTGAAAAAAAATACAAATTTAAATAAAAAAAATATGTGAATATGTATTAAACAATATATTTTGAATAGAAAATACATAGTTATATTTTCAAATTTGTTTTTCTATTATTCATCAACAGTTTATTTTAAAAATGTTTTAACTTATTATTATTAAATTAAATTTATATCTTTTATTTAAAAGATTATATAAAATGAGTTTATTTGTTTTGTGAAATAATTGGAAAGTATATTTTTTATGTGATGTATAAAAAATTATGTAAATAATATAAAAAAAATAAGTATATGAAATATATATATATATATTTTTAAAATGTGTATTTTTGTTTTGTGTTTTGTTATTTTTCATGTGAGGTACGAGGAATTGTATAAATAATATAAAAATAAAGAGTGTGTAATATATTAATTTTTTTGGAAAAATGTGTTAAAAATTTTGTTAAAGAACAAAGGTACCAAAAAATTTTCAATAGATTTCCCCAAAAAAAATAATAATAATTACACACATTATTTTTATATTATCTACACAATTTCCTATACCTTATATAAAAAAAATTCAAACTAAAATAAAAACAAATACACCCCATATTGATTTGAAAAACAAAAGGAACACACATTAAGAATGTGTTTGTTTGGGGTTTTGGATTTTGAATTGAGATTTAAATAGTAAATATTTTGAATTTGAATAATTAAATGATGTGATATAAATAAACATTAATGTGATGTTAATGTAAAATTAATTTTTAAGTATAATATAAAAAAGTAATTATTCATTTAGGGTGTGTTCGTTTGTAGGATTTTGATAAAATCCTACTATTCAACCAAAATTTCCCCCCCAAAAACATCAAATCAAACACCTATTTTTTATTTTCTATATTATACTAAAAATCAATTTTACATTCAAAATATCATATCAACACCTATTTATATCATATCATACAACTATTCAAATTTAAAATTTTTACTATTCAAATCCCAACTCAAAATCCAAACCCCCAAACAAACACACCCTTAATGTTTTTTAGGGGAAAAAAATTGGTGAATAATATAATTTGATAGAAATTCACCAAGCGAACACACCCTTAATTGTCATAGAAAGATCCCACTGTGTTCGTTTAAATAATTGTTACAGACAATTTTAAAACAAAATTGTCTATAACTTTCTTGTGATTTTGAAACTCAACACGTAAATGTCCTTTATTTTAGAAATTGCATCACATTCCCTTGTACTTTAAAAAATATTGCATGAAACCCTATATGGTTTCAAAATTCAGCGTAAATTCACACTTTACATTACAAATTGCATTCTTATACTTTAAAAAATATTATATGAATCTGTCATGAAAAAATTATAGATAAAAAATATCTTCTCATCACACAAGAGAAGTTTCATGGCGATTGAGTTTCATGCAACGTTTTTTTTAAGTATAAGAGACGCTATGCAATTTTTAAAGTACAGTACGCTGAATTTCAAAATCAGGGGAGAAGGAAAGTGACAAAATAAGGGAGAAGACATAAATGAAAAGGTGAACAATATAAGTAGGACGGATAGAGTACTACTCCCTCCGTCCCACATAATTTGTCCCTATTTTTTATTTTCATCCGTTTTATATAATTTGTCATTTTTTTTTGGAAAATTAATTATATACTTTAATCATATTTTAAAGTTCTTTTAATCTTCATTAAATTATTTAGTTATCTTAATCTTAGTCTATAATTATTTTTACTAATACACTTGTTAATTATTTACTTATTATACTTTACCTAAATTTCTATATCTACATTAATAAATTCATACTCCCTCCGTCCCACCGGAATTGAACTATTTGATTAGGGACGCGATATTTAATGTGAGAATGTTTAATTAGTTAATAATAATTAATTATGATATTATTATATTATTTTGTGTATAATTAATAATATTTATAGTTTTAAAGTAAATTTAATATATATGATTAAAAAAATTAAAATATATATTTAAATATTTAAAAATTATATAGCAATTAAAAAATATATGTAATATGAATATCATTTTGTAGAGAATAAAATCTTCTATAATACAAGTAAATAAAAAAATATTTTTGTTTATTTATAATTAACATAAATCAATTTTATAAAAGATCTGTAATTTTAAATATAGATAAAAATATTTATTTTTTTGAAGAGAGATGTAGAAATAAAGGGGTTTTAAGTAAGTCTTACGTCATTTATGATATTGTATGTTATATAGTTAATTACGTTGATTTATATTTATTAAATATATTTTGGTTTAATAATTTTTATCAAAAATAGAAATGCGTCAATTGTTACGAAATAGACAAAAATAAAAATAATGTTAATTGTAGTGGAACGTAGTAAGTATTACTCCCTCCGTCCCATGTAATATGGGTGTACTACCGTAGACACGAGAATTTAGGTAAAATATAATTAGTAAGTAATTAAGAAGTGTATTAGTAAAAATAATTATTATTTAGTAAAAATAATTATAGATTAAGATTAAAATAAGTAAATAATTTAATTAAAATAAAAAAAATTATAAAATTTAAAATTTAAAATGCAAAGTGTATAATTATATTTTAAAAATAAAAAAAAAATTATATGAAACGGACGAAAATGAAAAATACGACAAATTATGCGGGGACGGAGTGAGTATATAAAATGAATGGAGTATAATATATTTTTATTTGAAATTATGATTCTGTCCTCGCGTCAAGTTGCTACTGCAAATCAGATTCTTTGGGGCAGTGCGATTCGGCCATGGTTTTTCGTGCCCGCTATTTTTCTCTCTTCTGAATTCTGAATTCTGATTCTGATCCTTTTTCGTTGCGCCTCGGGAGATGCTCCCGAGTTTTTTACAATGCTTCCAGATCTTGCCGTAGAATCCATGCCCTATTTCTCAACGTGTTGGTAATTTCAATTATTTTATGCGTATCTCACTTCGAGTTGAGTTTTCTTATTATTTTGTTCTGTGAAGGGTTCGCGATGGAAGAATTTATAGCGACTTAAGGTTTAATCTGGAGAAAAAAAGTGAATACCAAATCCATTGGTGAGTTAATTGTATTTCGTTTCCATGTCGATTCTTTGTTTAGGGTTGATTAACCAGAAATGTTCTGATTTGTGTGAAATCGGTTAGTTCTATTATGGTCAATAATGAGATTTGAAATGGAAATAACGGCGTAAGAATTAGGGCAATTAACCTTGTTTATTGAGACCAGATTTGGGACTACATTGTGGAAGATTTGGCTTGACATTTGCAGTTACTTTGCCAATTTGCTTAGTTATCTCTACAAATTGTCAAATTTGAAGCATACAGAGGTGTTTGATTGTGTTTTTGGCTGTTTTGGAAGTGGAAATTTTTTATGCTCAATATTGATATTAAGCTTTGTTTAGATAGTGGTTTTTGGAGAATTTTGTAATTTTGAAAGTTTGAAAAATAAATAAATAATTAGTATTTTATTTGATGTTTTGTGAGTGAAAAATATTTGATATGATGTTTTTAAAAAAATAAATAGTGCAAAATGAATGAAAATGGGTAAGGTAAACAAAGCCCTAGGAGTTCGAAAATGATAGGCTCTGTTCATATATGGTATGGTTTTGGAAGATTTTGAAGTTTTGAATTTTGCTTTCTAAATATTTGAATTCAAAAATACATTCGAATCCAGTATTTAGAGTGTAAAATGTTGATGTTTTACTATTTAAATTTTAACTCAAAATTCAAACCTCCAACGAAACATACCCTTAGGATTGTTTGGGGATTTGAATTATGAGTTTGGATTTGAATAATAAAATTTAAATTGAAATAGTTGTATAATGTGATATAAACAGTGTTATATACACGAATAAATTGATTTTTAGTATAATATAAGAAATAAAAAATAGGTATTTGATTTGATATTTTTGGATAAAAAAAATTAATGAATAGTAGAAATCCTGGAAAGCTTGCCAAACTAACCCACTTTCTTTTGTAAAAAATTTTCAACATATTTTTCCAAAAAATTAATATATTATACACACTCATTATTTTATATTATTTTTGCAATTTCCTATACCTCACATCAAATTTTTTCCTACAAATGAAACAATCACTAGTGGTCTTGGATTTGCATCTTTGGAGTGTAATTGTTGTTTTTTTTTTCTATTTAGCTTAGGTGTTTGAAAATCATAGTTTTGCAAAGAAAAAACTATATATATATTTTGGATTTTCGGTTTCAGATTTGAATTTTTAGAGTGTAAAAGTGTGATGTTTTATATTGAGCTTAGGTGTTTGAAAATCATAGTTTTGCAAGAAAAAACTATGTACATATTTTGAATTTTCGGTTGTTTCATATTTGAATTTTTAGAGTGTAAAATCGTGATGTTTTTATTGAGCTTAGGTGTTTGAAAATGATAGTTATGCGAGAAAAAACCTATATGTATTTTGGATTTTCGGCTGTTTTGGACTTGAATTTTTGGAGTGCAAAATTGTGATGTTTTATATCGAGCTTAGATGTTTTAAAAATGATCATTTTTGCGAGGAAAAACTGTAGGGTGTGTTTACTTGTGAGATTTCTTTTTCTGTTTTATTGTTCCAACTTTTTTTTTTCTCCAAAAATATTAAATCAAACACCTATTTTTTATTTATTATATTACACTAAAATTAAATTTTATATTCAAAGCATCACATCAATACATATTTATATCACATTAAATAACTATTTCAATTCAAAATTTACTATTCAAAACCAAAATAAAAAATCAAAATTTCACAAGTAAATTATTTTCTTTTATCGTAGATTGCATAGTGTTAAAAAAGCCTTTCTAGTAAGCAGCCATGCTTAAAGCCCCCGAGCATCAGGTTGGGGGACACCATGCTAAAGCCGGACAGCTCGGACCTCTCACCGACGATTCAGGAAAATTCTACAAGCCACTTCAGGGCGATGAGCGTGGATCAAATGAGGTTTCTTTCTATACGTCGTTTTATTCTAACACAAAAGTTCCTAAATGCATCACCAGATTCTTCCCAAAGTTCTACGGCACTCAGCTTGTCGAGGCATCTGATGGATCCGGCGTAAAGCCTCATCTAGTTTTAGAAGATCTGACTTTTGGTATGGTTAATCCGTCGATAATGGATGTGAAAATTGGTTCGCGAACATGGCATCCACAATCGCCGGAGAATTACTTCAAGAAGTGTTTTGACAAAGATAAGGCAACCACGAGCCTTTCTTTGGGTTTTAGATTTTCCGGTATGCAAATTTTCGACACCAAAGAGTCGGGATCTTGGAAGCCGAAGAGGGCAATGGTTCAGACTCTTTCTGCTAATGAAGTCAGTTTAGTTCTGAAAAAGTTTGTCTCTTCTAACGCTTCCGAGCCACTTAACTCGAACGACGACTGTGCTTTTGCATCGGCTGTTTATGGAGGTCCCAACGGTGTTTTATCACAGTTGATCGAATTGAAGTCGTGGTTCGAGAATCAGACTGTTTATCATTTCTACTCTTGCTCGATTCTTGTGATGTTTGAGAAGGAGCGCGCCGTTAATGGAGAAAACCTTTCTCCGGTGATCAAGCTCATCGATTTTGCTCATGTTTATGAAGGAAATGGCGTAATCGATCATAACTTTTTAGGCGGGCTCTGCTCTTTGATTAAGTTTGTCTCTGATATTGTGACTGCAGCCGATGATTTTCTGGATGACGCTCGGAGTCTTAAGGCTTTGGATAACGGCGCTTGCGCCTGAAATGGTCGAGCATTTTTTTATGTTCGGGTCTTGGGCGATCGATGTTCTTCGAGTTTGTCGGCTTTCTTCCTTCCAAGTAAGGTTCTTTTTTCTTTAATAAGTAGTGTCTTGCTGTTTGCTTGCTTATGTTATGAAATGTGATCATGCTGAAGCTTAAGTTTCTGTATTCATTTATCCTTCAAATTTTTAAATCGCAAAAAAAATATATATATAATTAAGATAATTGAAAGTTCGATCGAGCAAATTAAGACAAGACATACCATAATTGCATCCCCGGCCATGACAACAAATGTCGAAGGCGAGCCGGGGTCAACTCCTATCCATTCCCCGTCTTTTTTTGTCCTAACTTCCAACCCCTTGACTTGTCTTTGATGAAGAATCGACAAGAAGCTCTTGTCGGTGCGAGGAATGATCCCTATCTCGTCCTCTTCCTTATTCCCCGGTGCCAAATATTTGATAAACCGGAGAAGGTAATACGTCGCCCTTTCAATGTTTTGTAGATTTCCTCGACTCCATATTTATCGGCCAACATTCCAATCACCACTTGATCGAGCAGCACCATCGCCCTCGAGAATTCTAAAGCTGCCTCACTACATAGAGAATAATTTCTATTGTAAATGATCTCATCCAAAAGTTTGATACATTAATAATAAGAATAATAATAATTTTTTTTTGGTTTTTTGTGTTTTTAGATCTAGTTTCATATTATTCATTTTACAATAAAGATCTTCCGCCCTAAAGCTATTAAAAAAAAAAAAAAAAAATCAAATTCAAGACAACATAAAATTTAGAAATTTTTATACTATTCATTCTTTCATAATTAAAGTTGTGGTCTTTTGTAGGCTTTCATATTTATACTATTCTAATTTTTTTTTAAAAAAAAAAATCAAATTCAACAATTATTATTTTTTTTATATTATACCACAAAACTATTTTACATGTGAGAGAAAATAAATATTTACTTTGTCATATTTTTTTAGAAAAAAAATTCATTATCGATGAACAATATTAAAACTTAAAAAAAAAATAGTTTCACCTTTGAAATATTTTATGAATAATATAATCTTGATTTAACATTTCGGATGAAAATAATGATTGAGTTGGTAACAGTTTTATATGAAATAAAATTTTAAGATAATATATGGTTGAAAGATACATTTTAACAAATATGTTTTGTTATTAATATATATATATATATATCACAAATTATAAGATCAATTTTACTTTCTAATTATATATAAAGAAAGTTGAGGCTATTCCATTGGAATTTGATTTTAAGTTTTTATTACATAAGTATAGCGGTTTTAACAAAATATTATATTTAAATTATTATTAAAAATTAAAAAATAAAAACACTAACATAAAAAAAAGTATATACACCAAAAAAATATAAAGTCAACTGACTTTTAGTAATTTTGGAGAGATAAAAAAAATATTAATAAAATTTTAAATTAATTTAAAAATTAATTTTAAATCACAAACAAATAAAAATTATTGACATTTCAAATATTCCAATTAAAAAGCAACAAGTCAAGCAAAATCGTGTTTCGACGTTCGAAGCACCATATAAATCGCATTTACTGCTACAACGTTTTTTTGTGCTCTTCCTGAGAGCGATTCCGAGAGGACTTCCCCGCCGAAGTTACCGCAGCCGCGACTCTTTCTAAGCCGGCGCCTGAAATGGAGAATTCGAGAGCCACCAAGACGCAGGAAGAGCAGTGGATGACACAGAGTCAAGTTTTCCGAATTTACGAACTCGTCTTCCAGCTTCCTCCCCATGCTCAGTCCGTCAAGTTAGTTCTCTACTGTTTCACTAATGATTAGGGTTTGTTTGACGCAATTAATCTACTGGAGCCATTATTAGAAGCAGATTCTACTATATTGATGTGCGTGCGATTTTGTAGCTTTGAAATTCGACGCGAAAACCACATTGGGTATCTCATGAAAAGTCTCCTTTACCTCGGCCCTAATTTCTCGGCTTTGGATGCTAAGTACGTTCATACTTTGCTCTATTGATGTATGTTGTTGTAAACGCCTATTGATGCTTTGTTTTGTTTCTTTCAACTGTACCACGTCTATAAAGTTTACTGAAATTCGCTTGATATCAGTAGCTACGCATGAGAAACTTTCTTATTCAATCACGAGTTTAAGTGTAACTGTTGACTTTTTTTGAATTTCCTGTTTAGTCGACCTTGGCTCTGCTACTGGATCATACACTCAATTGCTTTGTTGGGGGATTGCCTTGATGACAAGCTGGAGAGTAACGTAATAGATTTTCTTCAGAGCTGCCAGGTTGGGCATACTCCTATTCATTTGTAATACTGAAGCCTTCATTTTTCAGATTGTGATTTGTTGCTCTACCAAAATTTAGTTGTTTTTGAAGTAGAATAATACAGTAATATATGTATTATACTTTTAGAACATATGGTTGTGAACTTGTGATGTTCTTAGAGTTTGTTCTTTTTTTGAGTTCACCATTTTCTTGACAGTCCACTAGTTTCAATGGGGAAAACACCATTGAGTTGTTGTCATGGTTGTGGTGATTGGGTTGAATCCATTGCTTTTGCTCTTTTAGATCCCTATACTGATTGTAGTATATTTAACCTTTTTATTATTTAATCCTGCATTGCCATCGTTTTAATTCAACTTTGATCCTCAATGCTATTGCCAGGATCACTTACCTTGGGTTTGAAAGCGAGTTCGAAGGATCTTCGCTGATCCTCTCGTTTCCCATAAGCTTTATCTACAAAAAAAAAACACTTAAAAAACAGGATAGTATAAAATTTCGAAATAAAATTAATGTATGCAAGTCCCGGGACGTAAACATGATCCTACTACTATATGCAAGATAGTAAAATAAATGGAAAGCGTAAATTAAAAGAAAAATGAGGAGATACTCCCTATTATGGGTTCAGTCATCCCATCATTATGTCACTCCCTCTCGTATGCATCTATAAAGATTTAAAATAGATATTAGTATATATGTATAGGAAACAACAAAATAATATTAAAATCACTTACCTTTGATTTGAAATCGAGATCGAAAGATCTTTGCGGATCCCCTCGTCTCCACATAAACTTTACCTACAAATTAAAAACACTAAAAAATAAGTTAGTATAAAATATAGAAACAAAATTAATGCATGCATGTCCCGGGACGGACGTAAAAATAAATCTATTTCTATATGCATAATGCTAAATTAAATTAAATGCATAAATGTAAAAGGAAAGAGACGAATTACTCCCTACGGTCGTCCGATCGTCCGGCCACTCCCTCTCGTATGCATCTAAAAAGATTTAATATAGATATTAGTATATATATGCATAAAAAACAATAAAATAAAATTAAAAACACAAGACCATATATATTCAAATGCATGCATTCACAAGAGCAATCAAAGAAACAAGCAAAGAAAGGAAGATATTCAAATACATAATTTTCTATCGCAAAACATTATATCAAAATATTATTTAAACTAAAATTCAAATAAAGAAACTCAAACTCAAATCAAAACCAAACAAACTCACTATCATCAAAAAAATCATCAAAACCAAGAATTACCGAATTTTAGAAATACGAGAAGAAACCATCAAAAGCCAAAGGAGTTGGGAATTCTAGAAATATGCAAAGACACAAGACATCGGAAACAAGAGAAATAGTCGAGTCGAACATAATGACACGAACTAGAATAGTCGGGGCAAAACAAGGTTGTAAAGACACATTTCCAATGCATATTGACCAACTATGTCCAAAATCCATATTGAAGAAGGGAAGGAGTAAGGTCACCTTTTCTTAAATCCATATTTCTTGCTGCGTTGGTAGAACAGATCCGTTTTCGCGCTTCCTAGATTGACAATTTTCGGGATCCTTTTCTTGCTGAGTGCACTCCTTGCAGTAGTAAGCATCGGAAATCCCAACTCCTTGCTGAGTGCACTCGGGAGCCTGTGTAGTCGAAAGAAAAAACTTAAACTTTTAAGAATTAAAGTGAAAAAGAATCAGAAATGGAAGAAATGAAGCACTTGACCTCTTCCTTGTGAATCACCCTGTCCTGCAAGCAGTCGCCATGCTCATCCCCCACCCCCGCCTCTTTGTAATCCCCCCTCTAATAACGGCTACTTACCTTATTTAAATCTAATAACGGCTACTTACCTTATTTAAACTTTTTTTAAAAATTATTTAAAAATTTACCTTATTTAAACTTTTTTTAAAATTTATTTAAAAACTTTTCTTGTTTAAACTTTTTTTAAAAATTTATTTAAAAATTTATCTTATTTAAATTTCACATTTTACCATTGTACCCTCTTATCTAATAAAAAAATAATTTCATTTTTTTAATATTATATGTATATATATATTTATATTTAAATTATATTTTATTTGTTCTATAATAATATAATATTTTATTTGAATATACTGCTATAATTACATATATTTATTTATAATCATTAACTTTATTTATATTTAATTATATTACTAATGATACTTTAAATAAATTAATAATTTAAATTTATTTGTCTGGTGTATTAATTTTGTATTTTTAGTTTAAACTATTCTTTTTATATTATATATGAAAAATATTGTTGGTAGTTTAAAAAAATATTCCCTCCGTCCCAGCTAATTTGTCCATTTTAGCTGATGGCACGAAGTTTTAGATATGATGTAATTATTGGATGATTTTAGATATTTTAGGGCATGATTGGATGATTTTTTTATATAGTTTTGGATTTTTGAGATTTTTTTTTTTTGAAATATTTTAAAATTAGATAGATAATACAAGCAATTCAATTAATGTATTATTAGTTCATCAACTTTAAAGAAAGAAATTAATCAATTATATTGTCTGCATTCTTTTATTATTATTATTATTATTATTATTATTACTGTACATAGTTTGAATGGTAGTAGTTTTTGGACGTTTTATCATTATATACTTTTGCTTGGAATATTTTATAAATTAATAAAAATAAATTGTAAAAGTGGTAGAATATCTTAAACTGACAACTAATATAAAAATATTTAAAATTAGAACATAAAATGTTGTGTTCTTAGTGTTTATGAATTTTTAGTATTTCTGTTATGAGTTATTTAAAACTAAATATTATTCAAATATATTATTTTATAAAAAAATAATACTTTTATGAGTAACGAGACCTATTGGGAATAATGGAAAAATAAAAGCAAATATACTTGTCTCTCTAAAATTATAGGTATTTTGTTATGTTTTAGGGCATTAGATTTTTTAACTTTCTTTAAAAATAAATTCTGGATATAATATTAAAAAATTATAATATTTGATATAATATTTTTAAGAACAAAAAGTTTCACAGTATGTTATATAATATAAAAATAAATTATATATTTTATGGCTATTGTAATTGTATGTTACAATATATACCAAGATAGTTTATTCTTTATCGATACTTCGAATTCGAAAGAAAAAAAAAGATATGTTCTTTGATATTATATGTTTCTAATTTTTAATTTGAGTAGTTATTTATATGCAATATTTTATGGTAGAATATGATAAATATTTTTAAGAGAATAACGATATAGTAAAGAATTGACTTTGTATACTTTAGCTTTGTATTTGTATTTAAACATTATTTGAATAATATTATTTTGTGAAAAATAAAATAAAATTTTTGTAAAAAAACATTAAGGGTGAGTTTGTTTTTATTTCAAATCCAGAAAGCTACTATTTAATTTGTGGAATTTTTAATAAAATTTATTATTTTTTTTAGAAAATATTAAATTAAAATATTATTTAAATTTAAATAAAATATTCAAATTTAAAATCAAAATTAAAAGAGCTAACAACACAGTAAAGTAACTGGAAAAAAAAAAATCAAAAGTAAATAGAATTATAGTACACACGTTTTAACATATTATGTTGAGATACTAAAATTACATGAAATAAAAATCAAAAGCAAATACAGTTATAGTATATATATATATATATTCTTTTATGACGGGAAATCTTCTGTTATTATTGTTTGAATATGTTACGGGTAAATTTTCTATCGAACTTAATAACCTTCAAATTATGTTCGACAAGATAAATCACAGTAGATAAACTATGTGTAGCAGACAAGTCACATATATTTCAACACATATATTACGCGATGTACTAAAATTACATGAAATAACAACATACATTGATCACGCCATATATATATATATATATTTCACAAATGAAGTAGGAACCTTAAACACCACGAAAAGCCCTAATCGGACACTTGGATTTCTTCCCTTCTTCACTGTAATAAAAATGGATTAATTCGAAGTTGTCGAAGGGCTTGAACTACAACGGATGATCGGCATCGATCAGCTCCTCCAGCAAGTGTATTTTCACATCCTTTATGAACGTAAAGAACCGGAGCAGATATCGTTCTTCGCTACCTCTCATTATCACTCTATGACAACAAGACTCTATTCGACCGTTGTTCCATCCCTACATCGACCAACAAAAATATCAAAATAATAATAATAATAATCCCTTTGTTCAAATGTGAAATTATAGTCAAGAAAATATTCTTGATTGAAAGTTCGATTGTTTTTTAGTTTTTCTTTTTGTTTGTTTACTGTGCAATAAGGTCATCAAATTACTATTTAAACTAAAATTAAAATAGGAAGAACACTAGAAATGTTCCAATTGTGTTTTGGTGTTTATGGATTTGGTAAGGATTTGTAGTATTGAAACAGGATATTAGATTCTGTCGAGATTTTTGGTGATTTTTTTTTTTTTTTTTTTACTGAAATAGACTTTTGGATTTGTTGTTTTGTGTATAAACAATGTATCTGTACGGAGAATATTAAAAAAATTGAAAATAATTGCCAAAATTATTTTATTCTTAATAGGGTCAAATCAACGAAACAAACTTGAGTTTTTTGTTGGGATGGTATATAAATAAAACCAAAGCTTATAAACAAAATAAATTTCAAAAGAATGCACCCTTTGGGTCTCATTTTATTTTATTGGTTTGTATGATGATTTAAATTTAATGTTTTTCTAAAAGAAGATAATACTCTTCGTCGAATGCAATAGTCTTGTTTATCATTTTTGTCCGTCCCAAAATAATAGTATTATTTTCATAAATAATTATATCTCCATAAAACTACTCTTACTTTTTTATTTTTATTACACAATTGTCACTACTTTTTACACTAATACACTTACAATGACAAAAAAAAGTATTTTATCCATACTTTTTACCCACTATTAATATAATATCAATATTTCTTAAACGTCCAGTAGTTATTATCTTTTGTATAAAATTGTGATTAATAAAAATATTGAAATGAAACTCCAATTAAGCACATCCCAAAATAGCACTTTTGGAATCTGGTGTGTTTTTTAAGGTTTATATTTGTATTTCATGTGATATCTTGAACAAAATTTTTTCTAAAACAATGTGATTTTTTTTAGGAAAAAAAAAAAAATTTAATTATAAATTAATGGGATACATTGTTAAATTGGTCGGTATATATATATATATATTTGTTGAGTAAAAAAAATAATGTCCAGAGTTTTCAAGAATGGACCTAGGGTTGTGGACTGGTGTATAGTTCAATGAGTTTGTTAATTGGCAGTGAGGTCCTAAATGGATTCGAACATAAGCCAAATGGCCCAAAATTCGGGCAAAGAAAGATGAGAGGGCAAACACGGAGGTCGGACAAGATAAGGTCGGGCGAAGAAAGATGAGATGGCAGACAAGGAGGTCGGTCAAAAGGAGATCGGGCGAAGAAAGATGAGATGACAGACACGGAGGTCGGTCAAAAGGAGATCGGGCGAAGAAAGATGAGATGACAGACACGGAGGTCGGACATGAGGAAAGGTCTGTTAATTGGTCGGGTGAAGAAAAGGTCTGTTGGTTGGTCGCTTAATTAAGCGACCTGTTAATCGCCTGATCGATTGGCCGGTCACTTGGTCAAAACAGTAGTTCAGTCGCTTGAAAGGGCGGTCAGTTGGTCGTTTGATGGCGCGACCAATGAATCGTCTGGATGATTGGTTGTTCGGCCGTTTGAAGGGACCGGATGGTGGTCGCTTGATTGGGCGACCGATGAATCGTCTGAACGAATGGTTGTTCAGCCGATTGAACGGACCAGATGACGGCCGCTTGATTGGGCAACCAATGAGTCGTTTGGTTTAGCGACCAGTTAGTATCTGGATTGGTCGGTTGGTCAATCGTTGGGTTATTCGGTAGGTTCAGTCGGTGGATGGTCCAGACGATTTCTCAATCGGATGATGATTTATGATCCGTCTGAAAAGGTGTTCAGAGGCGGTCGGTCGAGGCAGTTAAGTCTTGTGATTGGCAGGAGCGGTTGGCGAGACAGTTAAGATACGTGTCAATGAATGAGGAATTGGTGGGCGGTTGATAGCGGTTACTGTAACCAACCAGACGACGGTTCAAACCGTTTCTTTAAGGGGCTATTTAAGGATTTGGGTCTGTTCTGAAAAATCATCTTGAATCCACGTCAAATCTAAGTGAATTACTTTTGGGATCACCATTTACTCTGTAGTATTTGTTTATATTTTATTTATGTATCGTACGATGTCTAAAGATTCTTAATCTCAAATATTTATTTTATCAAATTCGAAGATAATCTCAATTTTTAAATTTTACTTTTTATTATTGAAAATCGGCATCAACAATATTATTTTCAAAAACTGAAAATTAATCAAATTGCTGTACTTAGCTTTGTCCTTGTGTAATAAACATTTAAAATGATGCAAGTTTGACGATACTATTTGTATTGTTCAATAATAATAATAATAATAATAATAATAATAATAATATATTATTATTATTATTATTAGCCAAATTGCAGATGACTTCCTATCCTAGCATTGATCAGACAACATTTCCACGTGCCACCAAACGCTGTGGAGGCCGCTTTCTTTCCACCGTATTTACAATTTGTTCTTTTGTTGAAAAATAATTACATTTGATTGTAAATACTCCCTCCGTCTTGTCAGAACGTTTTTATTAGGGATACGATTTTTTAATTAGTATAAATTAATAATTTATTAATAATAAATTATAATATTAATTTATTATTTTTTTATATAAATAATATTATTAATATTTTTAAAAATTTTAAGATTATATCTCAACAAATATATATAATATGGATACGTAGATAATAAAATTTTATATAATATAAATAAATAAAAAAATATTTTTTTATTTATCATTACCATAAATTAGTTTTATAAAAAAAATGATGAGTTTTAAATATAGATAAAAAAAAATTATATTAATTGAGGAGAGATATAGAAATAAAAGAATTTTGAGCGGTCTACGGCTAAGATGTTAGAAATTTAATTAAATTGATTTATATTTGTTAAGTATATTTAAGATTGATAAAGTTATTAAAAATAGAAAATGGTCACCATCTTTTGTGGGATGTATTAAAAAAGAAAAATAAGTCATCTGTGGCGGAACGGATGAAATATTAATTTAATGCTATATAATTTTAAAAAATTATTAATAAATTATACACAATTATACAATTTTATTTTATAAAATATCACATATATAATTATTTAAATCAAAATTTGAATTTCAACTCGAAACCAAATAAATCCATCTTAAATGAGTGTCCATAAATATAATTTTTTACTATACATTTTAGCAATTTTATAAAAAAAAATAAAAAAAATAAATTTACAATTTTTTTTCTTATATAAAATAGGAGTAGTTTAAACTACTATTATTTATATTAGGCCAAATCTACAAAAATTCATTTGTAATTTCACGAAATTGCTTCAAATTTTCATACTTTTAAAATTTTGATAAACTCTCTTATGATTTTATAAATTATATACTAACTCATCGTCCATCCTTACTCAACTGTGTTGGACCTACACACGCTCAAACTGCGAATAAATTTTATAATTTTTATTTCTAAACTTTTAAAAGTGCAAATATATTTATTTTTCTTATATTTAATCTCAAAAAACAATAAAAAAAATCTTATAACTAGAGACAAATAATTATTTGTGAGTATATTTACTTTATCTTTTTAGGTTAAATATAAAAATAGTAGATACATTTGTAATTTAAGGATTTAAAAATGAAGATTTTGAAACTTATTTCACCTTACTCATAATTTGAACGTGTAAAGATCAAACACTGTTAAATAAGAACGATTGATGATGTTAGCCACAAAATTTATAAAATTATCAAAAAGTCTCGACTCAATTTTGCAAATAAAAACGCAATTTTGTGAATCTTTTTGTGCAATTTTGCTTTTGCATTAATATATAAAATCAAATCCCAAATAAAATTTTAAATAATAATAAAATTCTTTTCTTTTGTTTGTCGAATTTCCAATTGGGTTGGAGCTTGTCTGAAAAAGTCATTCACCATTCCTTCCTTTGGCGTCTTGGTTTGAACTGTCTCTTGTTTCTAACTTACATTACTTTCTACGTCTGTATCTCTCTCTGTATCTATCTGTATCTATTCACAACACGACAAGGAGATTCCGCTTTGAATTTTGCTCCCCAAAACGCTTTTCCCTTCCCTTCCCATATGTTCATCATGCTTTGAATTTCAACATTCATTTCTCCGTTCCTTCAATTTCGCCATTCATATAATCTCCCGAATTGGGGATTTTTTGATTTTGTGTTCTTCCTGTTCTTTGATTCGATTTTACTGAAATTGGGGAAATTTCTAGGGTTTTGGTTGTCAATTGTTCAATTTCAATGGAGTTATCGTGTTCGCCGCCGCTCTCGGTTAATTCCGCCCTGAATTCCGGCATACGACGCCGTTTTATCGTCCCCGACGCCCACCGCCGGTGCCATAGATCGGTTGCGTTTTCCCCAAATTGGTTCCCCTCCACAACGCCGCCGCCGCCGACCACCGGTTGCTGCACAAGCGCCGCCGCTAGCTCCAGCGCCTCTACGTCGTCGTTTTTCGGGAATTCGATTGCTCGGAGTTCGAATCGGAGGAGTTCCTTCGCCGTTAAGAAATCGAGGCGGAGCTTCTTCGTGGTTTCTGGAATCTTCGAGAGATTCACGGAGAGAGCGATCAGAGCGGTTATGTTCTCGCAGAGGGAGGCGAAGGCGTTGGGGAACGACGCCGTGTCGACGCAGCACCTCCTGCTAGGGCTGGTGGCGGAGGAACGCGCCGCCGACGGTTTTTTGGGATCCGGAGTGACGATCGAGGCTGCGCGTGAAGCTGTCCGGAGTTTGTGGCCGGAGGTTATTGGGAGCGGCGGAGATGGTGGAATTGTGCAGCAATCGGAGAGCTCGGCGACGGACGTGCCGTTCTCGTCGAGCACGAAGCGCGTGTTCGAGGCGGCGGTGGAATATTCTAGAACCATGGGGTACAATTACATAGCGCCGGAGCATATCGCCATTGGCCTCTTCACCGTCGACGACGGCGGCGCTAATCGCGTCTTCAAAAGGTATAAATTATCGATTCTAAGAATTGATCTGTGCTAATAATCAAGATGAAGACGATGATGCAACTGTAGGAAACAATTCCTATATGATTTCTTGAACCAGATTGAAATAATTTTCAGATTAGGGGTGAATGTCAATCACTTGGTGGACGAGGCGGTTTCTCGGCTGCAAGGCGAGCTTGCGAAAGAGGGAAGGGGACCGTCTTCGACATCATTCAAAAGGTCTCGAGAAAGCCTCTCTCCCGAGGTTGCTCATGCTGGATCTCCCGAGAAGGCGAAAAGTAAGAATCTTTGTCTCTATCGTATATTCCGTGAGAATGGATATATTGAGTGTGTGCGCAAAAATGTTGAACTTAGACTAGTAATTATAAACAGATCAAACTGCTCTCCACCTATTCTGCGTGGATCTCACTGCACGCGCTAGCAAAGGTTCGATTGATCCTGTAATTGGCCGCGAAACTGAAGTGCAAAGGGTTGTTGAAATTCTTTGTCGAAGAACGAAATGTAACCCGATACTTCTTGGCGAAGCTGGGGTGGGAAAGACGGCGATTGCGGAGGGCTTGGCTATAAGTCTCGCCGAGGGAAATGTTCCCCATTTTCTTATGGTTAGTTGATTTTTCAATCCAAAATTACTCGTTTCATTATATTGAGTATCTCGAGAGTTCGATTTCTTTGGTTTTGTATTGAATATCGTTTCTTTTCACTAGAACAAGCGCATATTGTCGTTGGACGTTGGGTTACTGATAGCAGGCGCGAAGGAGAGGGGCGAGCTGGAAGATCGTGTGACGACGATAATAAAGGAGATCAAGAAGTCGGGTGAGCATCTTTGTCAGTATATATAAAATAATTCGGATTCAAACCTAATGATTGTGATCGATGCTGTTGTTACCTTCAGGAAACATAATCCTCTTCATCGATGAAGTCCACACGCTTATCGGTTCCGGCACAGTCGGGCGCGGGAATAAGGGGTCCGGTTTGGACATAGCCAATCTATTGAAGCCGGCGCTCGGACGGGGCGAATTGCAGGTTAAAAATTCTATCCATATTGTCGTGTAATTCGATGCATTTATTGTCGTATCGTAAGCATTTGCGTTCATTCTTTACCAGTGTATTGCATCGACGACTATGGATGAATTCCGGTTGCATTTCGAGAAGGATAAAGCATTGGCCCGAAGGTTTCAACCCGTCTTGATTAATGAACCGAGCGAGGTACCGAGATAATCTCTGTCGAACTTTTTGGTTATATCTCTAAAATTCCGAACATTTTCCAGGAAGATGCAGTTCACATACTTTTGGGCTTGCGGGAGAAGTACGAAGCTCATCACAAATGCGTATACACTTTGGAGGCAATAAACGCTGCAGTGCAGCTTTCGGCGAGATATATCCCCGACAGGTACCTTCCGGATAAAGCTATCGATCTTGTAGACGAGGCTGGGAGTCGAGCTTGTATGGAAGCGTCGAAGAAGAAGAAAGAGCAGCAAATATCGGTACTTTCGAAGCCCCCGAGCGACTATTGGCGAGAAATTCGAGCTGCGCAGGCCAGGCATCAGGCGGTATGCGATTTCTACCTTTAGTAGATCACGAAATTGACTTTTTACGCCCTGCTTAATCTTCCCTGATGGTTTTTGTTTAAACAGTCGTCGACTACGCAACTTTCTGAGAACGATGGAAAATTTGATTTTGATCCGACCTCGTTGTCGAACGATGAGTACGTGCTGCGTCTTTTACCGTATTTGGATAATTTCTTGATTCGAATCCGTCACCCAAAACTGGATTTATTGTTTTTTTTTTTTTCGAATGTAGGCCAATGGTGGTCGGGCCGGACGACATAGCAGCCGTTGCGTCGTTGTGGTCGGGAATCCCGGTGAAGAAACTCACGGCCGACGAGAGAATGCTTCTCGTCGGGCTCGACGAACAGCTGAAGAAACGGGTCGTAGGTCAAGACGAGGCGGTCGCTGCCATTTCACGGGCTGTGAAGAGATCCCGCGTCGGGCTGAAGGATCCCGACAGACCGATCGCCGCAATGCTCTTCTGCGGCCCGACCGGCGTCGGGAAAACCGAACTCACGAAAGCTCTAGCGGCGAGCTACTTCGGTTCTGTAAGAAAACAAAACTGTCGATTCTCAATTTCGCGTGTTCTATGTTTTTAGAGTCAATCGATGTAATATTTCTCGCGCCCGTACAGGAGTCCGCGATGCTTCGATTGGACATGAGCGAGTACATGGAGCGACACACGGTGAGCAAGCTGATCGGATCGCCCCCGGGTTACGTCGGCTACGGCGAAGGAGGCGCTCTTACGGAAGCCATCAGAAAACGGCCTTTCACCGTCGTGCTGCTCGACGAAATCGAGAAGGCGCACCCGGACATTTTCAACATTCTCTTACAGTTATTCGAAGACGGCCATTTAACCGATTCGCAGGTTTGGTTTCTACCCGCCGATATATTACCGTTTGAAGGTCGTGTCAACTTCACGAGCATCGATTTTTGGATCATATAGGGTCGAAGAGTGTCGTTCAAGAACGCCTTAATAGTAATGACCTCCAACATCGGCTCCGCCGCCATCGCAAAGGGCCGAGGGAGCTCCTTCGGGTTTTTCACCGACGAGGACGAGTCGACGTCGTCGTACGCCGGAATGAAAGCTTTGTTGATGGAAGAGCTCAAAGGTTACTTCCGGCCGGAATTACTCAACCGGATCGACGAAGTAGTCGTGTTTCGCCCTCTCGAGAAGCCTCAGGTTCGGCTCCTTAATTTCTTTCTGATAGTAAACACGTGATTAGATTGGATAAAATAATCTCCTTTTCAGATGCTTGAAATATTGAACATCATGCTCCGGGAGGTGAAAGATCGTCTCGCCTCGTTAGGGATGGGTCTCGAGGTTTCCGAATCCGTAATGGACCTCATATGCGAGCAAGGTTACGACCGGAGCTACGGCGCCCGTCCTCTCCGGAGGGCGGTTACCCTCATCGTCGAAGACCCGGTAAGCGAATCTTTACTTTCCGGCGCGTTCAAACCCGGTGACGTCGCCGTAATTCAGCTCGACGAAACCGGGAACCCGATCGTCACCAACGGATCGACCCCGAAAATCCAATTGTCCGATACAGCCTCCAACTTCTAAGGGCTACAACATCAAAGATTGTTAGAAGTTTTCTGTACAGAACACGCTGTATTTATATTGATTATTCATTCGAAGAATACCTACACTGTATTTATATTGATTATTCATTTGATCGAACATTCGAAGATACCTACGATAAACAACAGATTACCTCGGATTCAAATTTTAAGTCGATTAGTAGGATTGCTTACCAGTGATCGGTGAAGTTTGTCGTCGTTTTCAAGAACTCGACAATTTGAACATAGGCATAGCGACGATCATGACTCGTTTCTGTACATTCAATCGAAAACTCTAATATGCTCGAAAAAATTAATCGTTTTTGTTCTTGCTATGAGGTTCATTTTTCACTATAATTGGCGAATTAGTATCCCTTGTTTCCACGAATTCGAGCTCTCATGTCGACCTGGAAGAAACAACGCAAATCGGAGACTGAGTTTAGCTTTCGAAGTACCGACAATTTTAGCATTGATTAAGGGTAACATAATGAAAAATGAATAAATCCCGGAACCAGAAGAAAGTGCCAACAATTTTAGCATCGATAAGGATAATATAACGAAAAATAAATCAATCCGGGAAATGAAAGAATAGCAATTTGCATCTCTACTTCTCGCCATAACACAAGAATGTACAATATCGATAGGATTCAAACCATTAGCTAAAAGAGCCGAGCATATTATCGATCATATCTAGAAGTAAAATGTCATGCAAGCAAATGAACTCGGATTGTCTATCGAACTAATCAAATCCATCAGTTGAATCTATTCTCAACCCCACCTTCCTCCCTACCAACTTCTATATCGTGTGTGATTACTTTTCGAATGCACACTGGGTGTGTTTGTTAGGCAAATTTTGTAAGATTTCTACTATTCACTCAAATTTTCTCCCCCGAACATCAAATCAAACACCTATTTTTCATTTTTTATATTATACTAAAAATCAATTTTACATTCAAAATTTTTATTATTCAAATCTCAAACCAAAATCCAAACCCCCAAACAAACACATCCTAGGTAAACCTTCGAGTCGAAAAACTACTCTAGGCAAGCTACCATAACGTACAAAACTTGGAACCCTTTACCGGGCCTATTCTCAACCCTTGAATCAAAATAACATTGGAGCTTTGAGTCGAGATGAAAAGAGTAAGCTTGTTTACTTATGTTTTCAATATCTTTTTCGCACACCGCAAGAAACAATCATGCTAAAAAATACATTTTCAACTACGAAACTTCATGCAAAACATCACATCCGACCACTAGTTTAACTTCCAAAAAATCCAAATTCAAAACAACTCAACGCATAAGAGATCATAAATAAACACACCAATCTGTGTTGTACGATATTCAACAACATATTATATAACATCACATAAAACAAACATATTTGTCATTCAAACAATTTCATATCCAAAACTTCTAAAGGCACAAAGACACTTTAAGTTAATACTCCCTCCGTCTCACATAAAATGTCGACTTATTTATAATTTTAATTAAACTATTTAGTAATACACTTATTAATTATTCACTAATTATATTTCTCCTAAAATTCCGTACCTACAATAGAAAATTTTTTATGGGACGGAGGGAGTAATTGCATTACCTTAAGCAAAGAAGTACAACAATAATAAACACAAATAGAGAAAATACTGAAAATATCGATACAATATGTTTACTACATTGAAAAATACCAATATTTCACCGAACCCAAAATTTTAAGTACCTGTTCGAAATCGTAGACGGTATAAATGATTCAATGTTTTCTATATGGGGTACATACATATTAATACACCATGCTTACCATATCGAAAACAACATTTTCGACATTCCAAAATTTTCACCAAGGTGGTAGTATGGACTTACCAATATGAACAAATACTTTTACAACTTTTAGCATTATTCGTCAACGTTAAATTTTCAAAACAATCATATAAAATTCCTTATTTCTTATCACAAAACATTAAGTAGAATACATAATCTTTTTCTATTCCCAATTTTTTTTCAAAACTTCTCTATAAACAGATCCTCAAATGTTATATCTAATTGAAAAACAGAAAGAACACATCCAAAACTTCGCTAACAATCAATCGAAAACAAAATTAGATGAGCAAAGGCTATGATTCAACCCACTGCATTTCCATTTACAGATCAAGAATTTCCATCAAATAAATAAATACCTAAAAATTTGAAAACCTCAAAAGTCAGAAGAAGAAGACGTGCCTGTCCTCTCTTGCAATTGAAATAGGTTTCTCTAAGGCCAACGCACTCGCTAGAAATCTTAGGGCTCTTCTCCTTGGCGCATTCTCTGTACGGCCGATTCTCTACCTGATGATATCACCGAAAAATCTAATCGGTCTGATTTCGACAAAATCTTATGAACAAACAATACAACCGTACCTTAACGCAGTCGGATTCGCTCAAGCATTTCACGAGCTCCTGAGCCAGACCCTTGCAAGATTTCGCCATTCCCAATTTCGATTTCTGTAAAACCCTCGCGAAGAAGAAAGAAGAAAAAGAGTCGTTTCCTTTGATGGGCTTTAATGGGCCAACACTAAAGAAAAGAAGACCCGGATTTATTTATGGATTTATAATGTTCACCATTGATATTGATGTCGATAAGGAGAGAGTGGAGATGACGTCCAAAACTATCCACATCCACTAGGCTTCGTCTCAATTACAGTTGGCCATTATGTCTTTAATAATACACATAATTATGTTCCATCCGTCCATTGGAAGGGTGATATTTATTTTTTTTTTTTTTCATAATTCTTTTAATATTAACATTAAATTAAATTAAAATAAAAATAATAATCTTATTTTGGGACGGACGAAAATAAAAAATGTAATATTTTTTTGATTTATTAAAAAATTTAAAATATTCTTTTGGATTGGAAAAGAATAAGCATTTTATTTATAATATTGCATGTAAGATGATTTTAATATTTTTATACGTTGTATTTTATGTATAAATTAATATTAAAAATTTGATAATTTTGAATAAAATTGATGAAAATAGTAAAAAAAAAATCTATCAACTTATATATAAAAAAATAATACTATAACAATTATCTATTGTATCGATAAATATTAAAATTCAATATTTTAAAATTTAAATAAAAAAATTTACTGTTATAATTATGTTAATTTTTTTTAACCTTCCGTTAAATTTATGTATAAAAAACAATTTTATTCCTTTATAATTTTATTATTATTATTTAATCATAATAACTCATATGTCAATATTTTCTATTTATCACATCATTATTTTTTATTATTTGTTTAATAAATTTTATATAATATTTTTATTTACTTTTTTATTTATCTAATTTTTATGAAAGTCACGTAAACATTACTGGCCGAAGAAGTGCTCCATTAGTCCCACCTTTTGGGTTTGATTTATTTTTGGATAAAATATAATTAATAAAAATAATTATGTATATTAAAATTAAAATTGTTGATGTAATTTTTCAACAAAAATAAAGTAAAATTCAAAGATATAGAAAATATCCTTAAACTTGATTAATTAGTGCCTGAGATTAGGAATCTCTAAACACTGTATGGTACAGAAAATAAACTGGAAAATAAAAGACTGAAATTTAAAGTGGTGATCCCCAAATCTGACTTTGCTTTGTTGAAGTTGATTGAAGATACCTTGCCAAATGATTATCCAAGCCTTTAAATATTCTCTGGGAAACCGTACCGAAAACCGTCACCCGAACGGTTACAACGTCTCCTTCCCAACCGTCTTCCAACCCTTCTCATGCTGACACGCGTCCCCAGCAGACCAAAATTATCCCTATATTTCACTCTTTGAGCCGACCACAAACCTTCCGCTCTTTTGGCCCGACTGCCAATCTACAATAGTATGGGTCCGACTGCCAATCTTCCCGACTTGAGATCTTTCCGTCTTGAGGACACCTCCCGACCTAAAAACCTTCCGACTTGAGATCTTTCCGTCTTGAGGACACCTCCCGACCTAAAAACCTTCCGACTTGAGGTCTTTCCGCCTTGAGGACTTCCCGACCTGAAAACCTTCCGACTTGAGGTCTTTCCGTCTTGAGGACCTACCGACCTGAGGTCCTTCCGTCCTGATGACTTTCCGTCTTGAGGACCTCCCGACCTGAAGACCTTCCGACCTGAGGTCCTTCCGTCTTGAGGACCTACCGACCTGAGGTCCTTCCGTCCTGATGACTTTCCGTCTTGAGGACCTCCCGACCTGAAGACCTTCCGACCTGAGGTCCTTCCGTCTTGAGGACCTACCGACCTGAAGACCTTCCGACCTGAGGTCCTTCCGTCTTGAGGACCTACCGACCTGAAGACCTTCCGACCTGAGGACTTTCCTTAGTAATAAACCTATTTTCCTTGATTTCCTCATGGTGCCCTTCAGTCAGTTCAATCAACTCTATTGCCAGGCCCACTATTCTTTTTACCTTGGGCTTTTAACCTAATTCTAAATTTCGTACGTAACAACTTGCCCGCCGCCAAGGGACTTTCAAACGCCATTTAACAATCAATGTTTGGAAGTTCATAAATCACCACCCTCTTGAAAAACTCCCTTAGCAACTGCACCAGTTACTGCAACACTCCTGATTAACTTCCTTCTCCGTCATACAAGCTTTTGTGAATCACAATCCCAAAGCACTCTAACCATGGCGAATCAATACATTCCTGCCCTTCCCTTCGACGGAAACCTCCCGGAGGGCCCATTTTCAGCCTCGAAAGTACTAACTCCGACGATCCGTCCATATTGCACTACTCCTGAAGATTCAAATCGGATGAGGGAAGTCTTGGAATCCCGAAATCTCTTGGCTATCAACAACCCTAACTACCAAGCACTTCGCATTCGAGACAGCATCAAAACCCATCTGACGGACCCAAAAGATCCTTACCGCGCTTGGTATCGACGGGTAGCAGAACACTTCCAAACCCAATGGCGTTCCCAAAAGATCGACCAAGCAATACTACTGTCCACCATGCCTATCAACCTGCATGAGAAGGTGTTGTTGGCCATGTCTGCCTTCTGGAATGCGGAAAATGGGACTTTCCTCTTCCCATCAGGCCCCTTTGGCCCAACTCTTATGGACGTTGCAATGATCGCGCATCTCCCAGTCGTGGGTGAAGACCCTGTAATGGGAGCCCTAGATGGGCAGGAGCCATCAGAAGACCATCCAGGGTGGTCTTTACAAGGTGTGAAGGAATGTGGTTGGACAAAGTTCGCAACCGACCAGCAAAGGGCTCCAGGGACCCCTGTAACCGACCGGGAGCATACTGCCTTTATCCTTTTTTGGCTTTGTAGGTATGTCATTGTTTCCCCTTCCAAAAGTGTTCTTCCTTCTCATCTCGACCTGGCCATTCATATCGCGTCAGGTCGTTTTTTCTCTCTTGGCACCCTGTTTTTAGCCAACCTGTTTGAAGGACTTACTAGAGTTAGCCTTCGTCTAACAGATAATGATAGTAGGAAATTAGACACTGCCGCGTCGGGTCCTTTTTGGTTTTTAGAACTTTGGTTCCGGCTTTACTTCCCCAACGCGTTTAACTTAGGATCTCCGCCCACTATGCCAACAGCTGAAAAACATTTGGGATTAGCCCTTAACCGACTCTGCTCAGGACGCAATAAACTCCAATCTTCCGATCCAATAATAATCGCAGTTTTAACAGATACCCGCAGTAACTCTCGATTTTCTATGTATAAAAAGTATGCGGGCTATGCTCCCGACCATTTTTGGCCTTTTCCAGTACCAAATCCGCTTCCGACTCCTGAGCCTTGTCCTCATTCCACTTATCCTTTCGCCTGGGACGTTGCCCTCAAACCCAGGTCTCTTTTTAGTAGCAAAAAACTTGATAAAAAAGGGCAGAAAACTTTTTACACTTTTAATTATGAACCTCAATTCATGGCGCGCCAGTTCGGCTGTTGCCAAGGTATCCCTGGACCCGTCGCGTGTCCGCATATAATTTTTCAAAGCCCTGACCGACGAGTCCTACCGAATTCAATCCCTTCTTATATCTCCCAGCTTACCACGTATATAACTTCCAATTCTTATATTCCTTTCCGCTCCAACCCTGAGACTGTAGAAACATTCAATGAATGGTGGTCGGTTGTATGGCCCCTGATTTCCCCTGATGAGGGTCGGTTGCTGAACATACTCCTTCCACCCCAAGGATTGGTTCTAGGGGCGGCTAGACATACTAGCACTCAACAACAAACAGCCGCCCCGGGGATCGGGTCTAGTGCTCCAACGCGAAAAAGGAAAGCGTCCCAGCTGCCAACACCCCCGACCTCTGGGGCCGACCAGCAAGCACCAACGGACCTTGGAACTACAAGGATGTCCGCAAGGACCCGACCCCGAATAGGTAATTTTTTCCTTACAACCGTGAACCAATTCACTATATCTTAACTTTGATTTCACATATCATTCACCAGAACCGACCTTGGCAGCACCGACCACACAACCGACGCCAGCCCCAGCCGACCAGTCAATCGGGCCTTTGGTCCAGACCCATTTGCCAATGAGCAGTCGGGCGGAGGACCCGACGAGGAGGCAAACTCTTCCTCCCGTACCGAGGAGTGGTCGGGCCAGGCACCCGACCAGGAGGCAATCTTTACCAATAGTGCCTAAAGAACCAGTAAGTTCCCTCATCAGCAATACTTAGGATTCTAATGATCAACCTTGATATATTTAACCAACAACATTTCCATGATTTTTCACAGACACCTTCACCCATCGCATCAGCAGCAGGGGTCTCTTCTGACAGCGAGGGGACTACTTCCCAGATGGGTCGACCGCCATACATGGCATCAGACTCATCCATTCCGCAGGAACAACCAGCCGCCCTCGCCGAAACTGACCCTCAAGACGACATCCTTGATGCTGCTGATCCCGAAATCGAAGGTGTCCCTGCTGCGGCTATCTCAGGTGCTCCAGAGATCCCGGCTGCAATGGCTCTAGATGCAGCCGCCCAACCTGCAGCCGCCCAGCCAGCAGCAGCGTTACCTCCAGCAATTGAGTGGCAGGCAGAAGAACCACCTGTGGCAGCCCAACATCCAGAAATGGAAGAAGTTTCTTCATCCGATTCGGAGACTTCTGTGAATTTGGTAAGATTAGACCAATCCATGCTACAATGTTTCCTTCAGAAAACACTAACTGTTCTATATACTATTTTCCATAGGGACCCAGGTCGGCACCTCAGCGACCATACGCAGCAGCCGACGAGTCGGCTGCTGTTATACCAGCTGTCTGCCCTACTCGACCGACCTCATTGCTGCCCCCCTCACTGACAGCAGTCCGCCCAGAGGTAACACATATCTGAATAAATTTGCACCTCCCTTGGAATATTTATTGACATTGTAGGACTTGCAGGGGCCTTCGGACTTAGCTGTCCTATCGACTGTTCCGGTTCCGGCGGAGGCCCGAACCATATTCACTGAGGCCATTAACCATCCCCTGTCAGAATTAGGATCCGACTTATTGGACAGACTCATTCAGACGGTTGGTGGCCTTCTTTTTTACACTCCAACGGAATCGCCAGCCATCCCCATTCTGCATCGGCTGATGGAAAGACTTAC